AGCCCCTGGGGCTGTCCACGCGTCTTGTCACATTTCCAGACACTCGAGTGCCTCGGCCTGTGAGATGAATGATGGTTGCTGGGGACACGCGTGTCCCACCTGCTGTGTGCCAGGTGCAGTTCTGGGTGGTGGGCCTGCTTCTTCAGCATCCAACGAGGGGGCACACTGCCAACCCTGCTTCATAGGGGCAGACCCAGCACAGGGACCACTGAGCCAAGCTCCAAACCTGTTTCGGTGACAAGGGTGCCAGGCTGCTCTGTTTGAGGTGGCACAGAGCCACTGAGCAAGGCCGTCAGGCAGTGCAGAGGAAGGGGAGAAGACGGGCTGCTTTTAGGGGTATTTTCTTTCAAAAGCCTTTACTGCAGGATGTCAGCTTCTTCTTGTTATTCTGAAAATGTATTATTTTCTGTGTGTATAAGAGTATTTTGCCTGCATATATATTTATATCCAGTGTTCCACTTGTGGGCCTGGTTCCAGAAAAAGGCACCAGATTCCTTGAAATGGAGGTTATAGATGCTTGTGAGCTGATATGTGGGTGCTGGGAACTGAACCCCGGTCCCCTGAAAGAGTAACCAGTTCTCTTAACCATTGAGTCATCTCTCCATCCCCTTATATTATAGATTTTTTGAGACAGGGTCTCATTCTTGCTCGTTCTATAGCTCTGGTTAGCTTGAAACTCACTACGTAGATCAGGCTGGTCTCAAATGCACAGGAATTTACCTGCTTCTGCCTCCCAAGTGCTGGGATTATAATTTGAGTCACCGCATCGAGCTTATATTTTTACTTTTTTGAGGCATGGTCTCATGTAGCCCAGGCTGGCCCTGAAACTACTGTATAGTCAAGGATGACCTTAAACTTCTGATCTTCTTACCTGTATCTTCTCAGTGCTAGGATTACAAATATGTACTGCTGTGCCCAGTTGCATGCTGGGGATTTTGGAACTTTGTGCATGCTAGCAAGTGCTCTCCCAGCTAAGCTATGCCTCAGGCTCAGATTCCAGGTCCACAGAGGTGAAAACAGAGGCTCAGGGAGTGTGGTGGTTTGAATAGACTCATGTGTCTGAATGCTTGGCACATAGGGAGTAGTATTATTAGGAGATGTAGTCTTGTTGAAGGAAGTGTGTCATTGTGGAGGCGGGCTTTGAGGTCATATAGGCTCAAACAAGTGTTTTCGCTTCTGCTGCCTCTGGATCAAGATGTAGAACTCTCAGCTCCTTCTCCAGCACCATGTCTGCCTGCATGCCACCATGCTTCCCACCTTGATGATAACGGACTAAACCCCTGAAACTGTAAGACAACCCCAATTAAATGTTTTCCTTTATGACATTGCCGTGGTCTAGGTGTTTCTTCACAGCAATATAAAACTCTAGCTAAGGAAGAGAGATTAATAAACTCACCCAGGGTTGCTGACAAACCCAAGTTACCCAGCTCCATAAGGGTAGGGAGGATGCGCAGACTCAGTCCTTGTGGGGCTACTTCTGCCTCCCCAAATCTTGGCACAACTTAAACCAATGGCATCCATGTTCTGTGGGAACTTGATGGCACTGTCCAGCTCCCAGGGACCCAAGAGGCCCCCTAAAGGCTGCAAGCTGCTACTTACCCGGGCCAGCTGGCAGTGTTTGCTTTCTAGAGCTTGAGGCTCAGCTTTTGCCTCCCCTGTGCCCTTCACATCCTCTGTGCGGAGCTGCTGCTGTTCCCACTGGGTCTTGTTTTCCACACTTGCTCTCGGCTCCGGTGTACTCCGATGGCAGGGCTTGGCGCCCATGCTTCTCCAAGGACAGGAGCTGAGTGTGGTGCCAGCTGGTACCAAGAGCCAAGTGTCAGCAACAGCTTTGAGTGCCTTCTCCTGTTGGGCTGTGAGAGTTAGGGCTGGGTTGAAGCCAAGTGTTCTCAAATCAGCCTCAGGTTGGGGCTGCTTTATGACAGCCGGACTCAATGCTGGCCTCTCACTGCACGACCTCAGCCAAGGGACCGGATTGGACAGTGGACTGCTAATTGATTGTTCTGTTGAGGTGGGAATTTTGCAGGAAAGAAAACTCACCCCGAGGCATTTGTGATGCTAATGCTTTCCCTCCAGGGATTTTTGAGCCTTTTTATCCTACCTGCCGGTCACCTCAGGGACACGATCTTCTGCCTTGCGTGGCTGAAAGGCTGAGAAGGCAGAGCTGTGGTGTGACTTTTCCTCTACCATAGCCTTGACCCAGCTAGACATTTCTCAAAAAGAAGCAGCCCCACAGTGGACAGGACACCTGGATCGCTTGCTGGATCTTTTCCTACGCAGCCTACAACAGACTACCCCCACACTCAGGAACCTCAGTCCTGCCTGCTTTGTGGTGGCAGGCAGCTAATACCCAGGGTTTGGGGCATTTAGTTGGACCTGCCTTTCCAAGGCAAAGTCTTTGGTTATTATTTTCTAGGACCCAGCTACCTAGCCTCTGTCCATATGGGAATGTGGCAAGCCTGGGTATTGGAATGACCCATCTGTCCATCTTCATATGTGAGAGCAGTGCATTGGGGTGCAGTGTGCCCAGCTGTCAGATGGGCAAACTGAACCTTATGTCTCCCCGACACACGATGTGAACTTGGACTGGGCAGGCATGCTCACTGATTGACATGGGGGAACAGTGGGCTTAGACTCCTATATGGGGGGCTGCTAAGCCCCCACCTCCACGGTGGGGCTTCAGTGGTTGTTTTGACATGTCCAATCTGCGGCATCCAGGCTGCATGCAGCCAACGACAGCTTCAATTACAGCTCAACACAAAATTACGAACTGACTTAAAACGTGAGCTATTTTTGCAGTTCCTTTAAAATCTCAGTCACACGGCCTAGCATGAACCATGCAGATGTCAGGGGAACGTTACCGCTTCCAAAGATTGGAGAGGGTTGCTAAGGTTTCTCCTTCCTTCGCTATTTTGCTTAACTCATTGATCAAGAGACTGCCTGCCATAGTCTCAGCCCCTCTTCCTCTGAACACTGCCCCTACCCCCCACAGAGTTTCATAGAGTTGCTGCCAAGGCTGTCCCACCTTTTCCTGGCTCCCTCTACTCCCTCTAGACGCCTTCTTTACTGATGTCAAGCCCTACTCTGTCCTCATCTTACGTTCCTGCCTGTCTCCAGGATATTGGAGCCCAGTGCCCTCCCTGGCTTTCCTGGCTCTAGAATGGCTCGCTCTGCCCAAGGGTATCCAGGCCAGAAGCCTTGCTCTCACTTTACAACCCATCACTGAGTTGTCAACTCCCAGAAACCTGCCAATCCGTAGGCTTCTTTTCATTCTTCTGGATGCTGTCTGGCCACTAGCTGGCCTCTGTGCCTGTCTTGCCCACTTCTTCTTAAGTATGGCAGGGTTTCCCAAGCAGGAATCTGATCTCCCCCTCTCCTCTTCCCAGCTCTCCAGTGGCTCCCACGTTCCCTCTCAAATGCCCCCCTCAGCCTCCAGATGGGTCAGCACCCCTGACCTGGGCCACTTCAGTGCCTCCTTTCTCTCCTACAGCTGTGCTTCAGTGGCCAGACTGTCCCCTGTGTCCTCAGCTCACACCCTGCACCCTCCTGGGCCAGTGACTTGCTCTGCCCTTCTGCCGGCACAGACGTCACCTACCTCTGTCTCCTCCAGCGTCAGGAAAGGAGAACGGCTTTCAGACCAGCAGATCATGGTTCTTGCCCTGCTCCTGCTGGACTTTCAGAATCCAGCCTGGTCAAGTCACTTAATTCCAGAACTACCGATGTGCAAGCTGACCACTGTTAGAAGACGTGAAGGAGAGTGTGTGCATGAGCGTGCTTTGTAAGCAAGCACTTTGTTCTCATGCCCTTTCCATGGACGACATGTTTTCTGATCAGCCAGCGCTCTGTCATCCTGACTCCATCTGTTCTGCATTGGAGGAGCATCCACTCCAGCCCTGGAGGCCCTCAGGAAGTGCTGTGCTGTGCTGTGAGGTGCTTCATCAGCACACAGTGGAACCCTCCCTCCTGCCTGTCTTGAGAGCTATCTACACTGAGTTTCTATTTGTTTCTGTAACCCTAGAGGCAATAGAAGACCAGAAGGTCATGACATCTTGACCCCACAGGAGTCTGTCCATGGCGAAGTTGGTGCCCAGGGCTTCTCTGTGCTTGCTTGCTCTTTGTGCTTTGGTGTCTCGTCAATGGGGATCCTAAAAGATCACCAGGAACATCTCCAAGAGACTAAGGACACTCAGGGAAGGACACGACATTGGGAAATGTCTCAGCCCTGACATGTTATGGGTCTGGGAGAGGACAGCTGGTCACAGCTTTATTCCAGCAATCAGTGTTCTCTAGGGTAAGCAAGGCCGGCCTCTGCTCTTTCTCGTGAGGGATGAGAGATAGCAGAAGGGTTGGCCTTGCGCGACTAGAGCAAATACTTGCTGTTAGGAAGCACACTGCAGGCACTGTGCTACAGACTTTCCATAAGGCATGCAGAGAGCATTCCGGGTTCTTCTCCCTGTGTCCTCCGTCTCCTGCAGAGCCACCTTCAAATGCAACCAGAGGGGACGCCCGGGGCTTTGCTATTTCCAAGAGCCTTTAGTTGTTTCTGTCTTCCAGAGTGACGCTTTTGGTTTGGGTGTGAGGAGAAGCTGGGGTGACCCTGTGGAGCTGGGATACAGGTCAGGGACCTGCCCCTCCCGACCCAGGCTCAGAGGAGAGCTGGCCTTGGCTGAGTGACTCAGGAGTGCTGACCTGTTCTCCTCCCTTCTACCATCTGTGTGACTCATAGCCTCCATTAGAAACAAATCCTATAGGCTGCCTGCGAGGAATAATCCTGGGACAGTCACCTATGTGCCCTTGGAGAGCTGTTCTTCATGCAGTCTCTTCCCATGTGCGTGTGTGCACGTGTGTGATGGTGAGGAGGGGAGTGTGTCAGATCACCTTTGTACAAATGTGAACCCGAGAAGGGGCGTGTCAGCTCACCCGTGCATATGTGATCCTGAGGAGGGGCCTGTCAGATTTTCTGGTGCATCAATCAATTTTGGCCTTATTGTTTTCTACAGGAGACATGGGAGACAAAGGACAGAAGGGCACTGTGGGCCGCCACGGCAAAATTGGTCCCATTGGCGCTAAAGGTATTTTTGACACACTTCTTGCCCGATATTCCCCGGTAGACTCAGAGCAGCCGCTGTCTGTGCCACTTTGCCCGGAGCTCTTGTTTTCATGTGTCACTCTGATAGACTCTGTTGCAGTATTCTCACTACAGGGATACCAAAGAGACTGCTGGCTCTGTGAGCCTCAGGGTGGGTGGGGTCACAACAGCCTGCAGCACTTAAGGAGCGATAACCTCCTGGATGCAGGATCCCGAGCGTGGGCTTGAGCCAGAGCCCGAATCTTCAGCCCACCTTCTTAATAAGCATGATGGAATGATGAGCGACTCAAAGGATGGTCAGGATGGGTTGTGCCGTGCATTGCTGTCTTCCTCCCCACCCCTAGCTTCATGGTCAGGACTGGTTGTACCATGCATTGCTGTCTTCATCCCCACCCCCAGCTTCCTTTTCCAACAGATGTGTGAGCACCTGGATCTAGGGGGACACCGGGGTCATGCAGCTCTCTGGGTAACCTCACAGCAGTCTCCTGTGCTCCTGTGTGGGCTGGCCCTAGGGGAGACTGAACTAGGGTGGTCAGTGGCTGGCGAAGAGCTGTGCTGGCAATCAGAGGCAAGGGAGGTATTTGGCCGTCATCTTCCTAGCTGTCTCCTGGGATCTTTTTTTTAAAAAAATATTTATTTATTAATTATGGATACAATATTCTGTCTGTGTGTATGTCTGCAGACCAGAAGAGGGCACCAGACCTCATTACAGATGGTTGTGAGCCGCCATGTGGTTGCCAGGAATTGAACTCAGGACCTCTGGAAGAGCAGGCAATGCTCTTAAACCTCGTAAACCCCAGCCCGTCTCCTGGCATCTTATACTCGAGCAGGTTGACTCAGCCCAGAGATGTCTTGACTGAGTCTGAGCTCTGAGTTGGTTTGGGTGGTTTGCTCTGATCCACACCTTGGGTTTGTTACAGTCCTGTGCTGTCCCTGCAGAGAGACACCATTGACAAGGAGGGTTGGGGAGGTGGGCACTCTGCTCAGCTGTCTCTTCTCTGGGAAGAACCTATTATCAGGCATCATCCTCATGAGCATGGGGTGTTGAGGGACATTCAGGCTACAGAACTTTCACAGGACTGTGATGAAGTATTGATCTTATAAAAGCTGCCATTTCAGCCGTTCCAGCTGCCCGGCTCAGCGGCACTGACACATTCGCCATGTGACGCAGCCCTGCCCACTGTTTCCAAAAGCCTTTTATCACCCCGCAGGGACGCTGCACCATTAAGCAGTAACTCCACCATCCCAACCCTCACAACCCAGAGTCTGCTTTTCGCCTCTGTGAATTTGCCCAGCCTACTTACCAGACAATGGGATTTGCCCTTTGTTGTAGTCTTGTCTCCCTTGGTACAATGCTCTGAGAATTCATCATGTAGCAGGTGTCAAAATTCCCTTGTTTTAAAGCTAAACGACACCAACTGCCCAGGTCTTTTGTTTATCTACATATTGTGAGAATTCCTTCCCTGAGGAGATATAAATGGTCTCTGTCTATTCTTCCGAAAGTCCCAAGGTCAAGCCAAAGTTCAACCTAGTAGAGAACAAATGAATTTATTGGGCTTACTTACAGAACTTGGGTGAGGAATTACTTGCAGAACTGTAGGGTACTCCAAAGCAGTGATACTGGAACATCACATTGATAGAATCTTCTGTTCTATGGGAAGTTAACCTTCCCTAGCATACACGTTATGGTACCTCTGAGACTCCAAGACTCAAAGTCACATGAAATTGCATGAAAATGCCTGGCAGCAGTGACTGGAACCAGGTAAGGGCCCAATGACCCTCTGCATGCTCCCTTTCTCTGATGGATATCATCAGCCAACAGTCATCATGATCTGATGGCCTCTAATGGCACAACTGGCATTATGAAGACTGTGGATGATTTGCTCAGAGGATTGAGTTCTAAGCTACAGTCTCCCCGCCTGTGGGTACTCAGGCCATCTGTCCCCATTGGCTGCTGTGACCAGTGCTGTAACGAGCGAGGGGAAGACAGAAGGAATGCATATTCTTTTCTACACAGCATGTGTGCTGGGCAGCTCTCCAAGTCTCATGTGGAGACCAGGACCACCCTCAGTCGGCTTTGATTATTCGATTGGCTTTGTTTCCAGGGACGTTCTCTTGGGTCCTGGCCAGGCTGAGATTCTGGAGGTCTTCAAACACCTGACAGAACACAGAGGAATGAGTTGGGCAGGGGCTGCTTAAATGCTTCCCTCTTTACGTGAACAGACTGCGAATCTGCCGACGTGGAACTCACAGCCCTTCATGAAAATGGCTCTGTCCTCTGAACAAGAGAGACAGTGTATTAGGGATTCCAAATTATTGACGTGTCTACACACACACGCACACGCGCACACACACCGTGACTTGATCTCACAGAGGCTGGGCAGCTTTGTTGCTGTCATTGTGTTCTGTACTGTGTTTTCGTGTGTGTGTGCATGCATGCGTGAATGTGTGCATGTATGTGTGTTGAGGAGATTAAAGGCAAGGAGTTAGGAGATTTGCCCTGCCTACCAGGAGAGTGGGCAGGGTCCTGGTGTCTGAGCATCTCTGTGACACTACATTACTTGGAGTGGATCCAAAGGAACTTTGGTTACAGTTTGGGATTATCAGTGCTGTCTGCCCTTCCTGGATCAACTTTTCCCTAAACTCACCCCACCTCCCTTCTTATGTCCATCTGGATATTCCTGTTGAGCTGGCCTGCCGCCATCTGCTCTCTGTATTCAGTAATCTGTACAATGTTGCCTGTAAAACATTCGATGAAGGGCACTGGGCTCCCCAGAGATGACATCAAGTAAACCACCGGATGCTCCCCCAATACATGCCCATGTTTATAAACAGCCTGGAGAGCTGTCCATAGAACATGGTGATGGGGAGTGATGGGGAAGGAACCTAGAGCCTCATTCAACTCTATCACTGAGCTACATCCTCAGCTTCAACAAATAAGAGTTTTAACTTGACACATTTTTAACTTGACTCAAGGGGCATCTCCCCTCTGGATGGTAACTTTAATTTTTCTTTTTATCACCCAGGTGAAAAAGGAGACTCTGGTGACATCGGACCTCCTGGTCCCAGTGGAGAACCTGGTATGACAATTCATAAACCATGGGGCTGGAGCAATGGTCCAGAGGTGGAGAGCGCTGGCTGTGCCTCTGGAAGATCTGGGTTTAGTTCCTAGCAACCACACAGCAGCTCATGGCAGTTTGTAACTCCAGTTCTAAGAAATCAGATGCCCTCTTCTAGCCTCTGGGGTCACTGTAGACACACATGGTTCACAGACATACATGTAGGCGAAACACCCATACAGCTAAAATTAAGCAAGTCTAAGTAATAATAATAAATGAAAAAAAGAAGCTACATGTGGCTACATGAAGTCCTGGGTTTCAATACTGGGAATAGTGGTGTGTTGCATGAATAATAAAAACTCAGAGACAGATATTGGGGTCTAAAGTTTGCCTGAAGATCAGAAAAGCAAAGTGGCCAGCCACTGGTTCTTACTTCTACCTCAGACCGAAATGGTGATCCTGCCTCCACAAATCCCCAGACTGAGACTGACAGTGAGACGTCTCCTCCCATCCTCTCTAGTGCTGGAATTAAAGGCAGGAACCACCCAGCCTCTATGGCTAACTAGTGTGGCTGCTGGGATTAAAGGTGTGTGCCACCACGGCCTGGCCTGTGCAGCTGACTAGTATGGCTGTTTTGCACTCTGATCTTCAGGCAAGATTTATGTATTAAAACACAAATACCATACCACTATAGCGGTGCACACCTATAATCCCATCAGTCATCAGGTAAAGGCGGGGGGGGGGGGGGGGAAGGAAGTCCAAGGTCATCCTTGCGACATAGCTGTGCTACGTGGAATCCCATCTCAAAACAAACAAACGAAACCACAGAAACAGCATAGTTAATAAGGGTAAGGTACCCATACTACCCTGTGTACAACCCTAGTGAAACTCATCGGGACACACTAATGCACACACACACACATGTACACACAGACATGGTGTTAGAAGGAGTAGGAGGGGACAAGAGATGGTAGCCGGATGAGTATGATCAGGTTACATTATGCACATGTATGAAAATGTCACAATGAAGTCCATTATTGAGCATAACTAATACACACCAATGGAAACCCCTAATAATCACAAATGGAAACTGCAGTGGGCCAGAAAGCAGGGAACTCCAGCAGCCGATAACTTTTTTCCAGCCTGGCCCTGCTGTGGGATGGTCCAGTCTGTTTTCTCTACTGTTTTCACCTCCTCAGGGTCATGTCTGCCTGTAAGACATCATTGTCTGTGTAGTAGGTGCAGGTATACCGCCCTAGATGTCAGGATGCTCATTTTCTGGTCCTTTTCTCTGTGGCGTATGCATCTGGGGTGTGTGTGTGTGTGTGTGTGTGTGTGTGTGTGTGTCTGTCTGTCTGTCTGTCTGTCTGTACCCATCTTTCCTAAAACCAGTCCCCTGTATCATGGGCTGCTTCCTGCAGGCATTCCATGTGAGTGCAGCCAGCTGCGGAAGGCTATTGGGGAGATGGACAACCAGGTCACTCAACTGACAACCGAGCTGAAATTCATAAAAAATGGTACGTTGGACCGAGGCCTTCCCCTCCCCTGCTCTTCCCTCCCCCCTTCTCCTCAGAGCTGGACAGCGGTGGCTTCCATTTGCTGCTCAGCGCCCACTGCCGTGCCCGTGGCCGTGGTGTGGTGGCGTGCGTTGAGTGTGTTTATAGAAATGCAAGTGCTGGCCTTTCAGCACTGCCCTCCCCTGCAGTTGTTGCCGGCGTGCGTGAGACCGAGAGCAAGATCTACCTGCTGGTGAAGGAGGAGAAGCGGTATGCAGATGCCCAGCTGTCCTGCCAAGTCCGGGGAGGCACACTGAGCATGCCCAAGGACGAGGCAGCCAATGGCCTTATGGCTTCCTACCTGGCACAGGCTGGCCTGGCCCGCGTCTTCATAGGCATCAACGACCTGGAGAGAGAAGGCGCCTTCGTGTACTCGGACCGCTCCCCCATGCAGACTTTCAACAAGTGGCGCAGTGGAGAGCCCAACAATGCCTATGACGAGGAGGACTGTGTAGAGATGGTGGCCTCCGGGGGCTGGAATGATGTCGCCTGCCATATCACCATGTACTTCATGTGCGAGTTTGACAAGGAGAACTTGTGAGTGCTGGCAGGCTGTAGCTCAGGGGGGGACAGCCGTCTGAACCTCATCTTTTATAGACACTCAGCCTTCCAGACACCAGTGGCTATAAGCTACCCCTGAGCATCCATCACCGTGTCTGTCAGTTTCTTTCCACATGGAAATTCAGAGCCTCATCGACCAAAGGGCTGTTTGAACCATAGAAGGAGGGAACCTTAGTTTCCCAGTACTGTTCTGAATAGGTGACGTTTACCCCCTGTGTCCAAGCCAAGACACCACCTAGAAGGATGCGGTGAAGCTCTTGTCACAGTCTAGCCACAAAGCATTGTAAAGGTTTCAGCGGTCGTGTGCAAACTGGCCATGGGGGCAGGAGTTGCTACCACCTCTTAAACTACACAAAAGGCACCATTTGGTGGCGACCGATGTTTCTATAAGTTACTCTAACACCTAGGTTCCTTTCACTATTATCCGTGTACGAAAGGCACCATTTGGTGGCGACCAACGTTTCTGTAGGTTACGCTAACACCTAGGTTCCTTTCACTATTATCCACGTAAGAACACTGCAGCTCTGCTCCAAACCCATACTCCAGGAACACAAATAAATCCTCTGAATTTTGCTATGCAGCGTGTGGTGCTCTCTGGTCTGGTTTCTTCAGTAGCTGTGGTATCTCTTGCTGTGGATTATTAAGCAAACCACCTTAAAAGAGAGTGACCTAGAGTATTTATTAGCACAGGTGTTTATAGGTCAGGGAAGAGTCACATGACATCCAGCAAGTCTGTCACAGTGAGAACCCGATCCCTTGCTGTATATTCGATGTGTTCCACGTCTCTGAGGCTGTGTAGAAGAACAGAGAGCCTTGGTTTATCACTGATTTGTGGGATACCACATTCCTTGCTAACTGAAGGTCCCTCTAAGGCACAGCTCAACATGACAGTAGCTTCATCAGGGGAGGAGCCAGAACGAGCCCCCCTGTCCCCCAGACCAAAGTCACACTTTTTCTAACTTGGTCTTGGGGCCACAGTCCTGTGTTTGCTGTGCTCTGCTTATTAGGTCTGTCACCAGCTCCAGCCTACACATGGGACACTAGGGACTGGAGCTCGGGGGGCTTGAGTAACAACCCTCGCTTTCCCCTTTCTATATGTTGGAATCTTTAGTAAAAAGCAATCAACTCTTCCCAAGGAAAATATATCATCATATGCAACCCCACTTAGGACCAGGAAAAGAATGAGTTATGGCAACAGCACCCTGGGGCACTTGGCCTTTCTGTATGCCTTTCTAGGGGGTCCTGACTGTCCTGTGCTCCGGATAATTTTCTTTGATTGGTGTGTGTGTAGGTCAGTGCAGGGGAGGTGGGTAGGGTTGAGCTTCCTGGACACCAAATCCAGAGCCATAAACAAGCCTTAGACTGCCCCGTGAAGGATGCTAGCAGTAGTGAGCTAACCTGGAAAATGCAATTGGCATCACCAGTGGATCCCACCCTGGCTTCAGCCTCAGAAGAAAGATGGCGTGATGCTCAGGGCTGGTGAACAGGTATTCCTGCTCTACAGTGTCCCAAAGGAGGCTTTTGCCTCGGAAGGCAAAGGTAGGCGTGTTGTTTCTTGTCACGGTGGATCCAGGTCCCTAGAGTCAACTGCAGTAGGGACGGTGTTGCAATGAACAACGAAGCCCTTTGTCTCCATGAGTCTTGTGACTCCTGTCGGTATCCATGAACCTGGGCAGGTTGACATGGTGGCTTGGTAGGGGGCACCGCAGGCTCTCACAGATGTTGCCATAAGTGTTTTGAAACCTCCCTGGGAGCTTCTACAGACACCACGATGTTGCATAGGACTGTCCTCTGAGCAGAACGAGCTTCATCCTTCATAAGCCTAGTGACTGATCTCTAAAGCACAATCACAGCTTGGCGGGTCGACTGTTGACATGCCCTCTCATCGGCCTGAGCACCCAGCTTCTGTGTCTGGTCGGTTGCAGGCAGCGCTGTCCTAACTACAGTTGATCTTAGGGCCTCAGGGAGGTGCTAGATTTTGTGGGCTGGAAAAGGACAAGGAGAAAGGGACTCCATCATCCATTCTGGGTGCACACCTTCCAGTATGGCTGTTTCAGGGTCTCTTACACCCTTGCACAAAGGAGGTGTCTGTATCAGACACGTGAGCCATGCTGGTATCTCCCTGCTCTTCAGTGGCGTCTGCTGCCCATGAAATGTCCCCCTTGTCCACCTATCCTGGAGGCTAGGTGAACCTGGGGGGTCCTTCAGAGAGAACAAGTGTTGCCACAGAAGCGGGGAGAAAATCAGCAGGGAAGTCCGCTAGTCCGGTGCCCTGTGCGCTGCCCGGAGAGTCTTTCTCATCCTAGGCCGTGGAATCTATGCTGCCCTCCCTTTCCTCCAACGCTTCCCCTCTCCAACAGGGGCCCCTTGTCCTCCAGAAAGGAACTTGTGGAAGCACCTGTGTGCCCACAGCAACCGGCCCAGACACACCCCAAGCTGGGCTGAGCCTTTTACACATGGTGGGAATCTGAGTCCCCTAATCTCATGAGGTGTAGGATTCCTTCATTCAAAGACATTATGAGGACACACGGGACAGTACGTGTGGAGTACCCAACACGACTGAGTACTGAGTACTTAACACCAAAGACACGTGGAACACCCACTGAGAGGCAGTGGTGATGATAACCCAGTCATGGGTACTCAGCATCATCTAGGACAGCGGTTCTCAACATCCTACACATCCGAGATTTACACGATGATTTGTAACAGTTATGAAGTAGTAACGGAACAATTTTACGCCTGGGGGATACCACAACATAAGGGGCTGTATTAAAGGGTCGGAGCTTTAGGAAGGTTGAGACCATGAGTCTAGATGTGTTCCATTCCCAGCCCTGAAGTCGCAACTTTACCTGATTGGAAGGGAGGGTGGACCAGAGCTCTGCACACTGCCTCCCTCCTCATGGGAGGTTAGAAGCGCCAGGCGCTTTGTAGTTTCCTCCGTTAAATTCCGTTCAGGCAGATTTGTGTTAATATAAAACATGGCGATGGCATTCTAGCCATTATTTGTACCTGGTTACGGACATTCCCATTACGACGACTGTTTTGAAGCAAATTAGATCGGGGTGCAAACCCTTGGGCACCCTGCCAGACCTCTGTCCTGAATTCCCTAGACCTCTGTCCTGAATTCCCTTCCTGAGATCCGGGGGTGGGGCGGGGCTGGCTGCGCAGCAGGGCTGCGGCGGCGGCTCAGGCGAGGGCTGAGATTCATTAGGTGCCGCAGTGAGGCGTGACCGAAAAGCTGGCGTGGGTGTCCTCTTTAGAGCCCTCTGTGGAACACAGGCTGAGATGGATGAGCAGAGTGACAGCCTGGGGCCTTGGGTCAGGGGTGTCAATCCATGGTGCCACACTGCCACCCAGTGGGAAAGATCGAGGCAGCCAAAGCGAGGTCGGCTGGGGGGTGGGCGTCGGGAGTGTTCTGGCACTAGCAAGGATTCTCTGCTCTCTCTCTCTCTCTCTCTCTCTCTCTCTCTCTCTCTCTCTCTCTCTCTCTCTCAAAGTGTGCGCGCGCGCGTGTGGAAGAGAGAGGGAGCATGACGGAGAGGGGGAGGAAGAGGAAGAATCAGTAAGAGACAGAGGGAGAGAGAGGCAGAACAAAGAGTTGCAAGGCGGTGGGGGAGGTGAACTCTAGCTCAGGAGGGGAGGCCAAGCCACGGGTACCATGGGTGCCCTTCTTTGGAAAGTAGCTCGAGCTACACCCCCGGTGGTTCCCCACCCTCAAGGGACCATCCCAGTGTGTTTGCACAAGCCTAGTGTCCATTTTGGCAGGGCAAGCGAACGGTGGAGAGGAAAGCTCTGGTATGGCTGCCTAGCTGTAGGTAGCCAGCCCCTTGAAGCGCCAGGGGAAACTTCCACCCAGGCTGAAATCCCGGGAGCGGAGGATGCAGGGTTTTTCTGCTCTGCCAGGCTCACTCAGCTCCACCAGTCATGTTCATGGGCAGCCGTTCACCAGGCTGTTCCAGCCTCTCCAGGCTAGGACCATTACTCTCCCCTCTGCCTACATGTCACAGTGACTGATGGCTGTTGGCTGAGAAGCCTGTCAACAGCTCCCTTCATTGTGTCCCCACAGGGAAGTGGCCAGAGGAAGCTGAGCTGTGCACTGTCCTAGCTGACCTCTCTGTAACTGTGATAGCACCATGACCAAAACCAACTCGAGACAGAAAGGGCTGTATGGTTTACACGTCACAGCCCCTCATGAAGGGAAGCCAGGGCTCAACCAGGAACAGAAAGCAGAGGCCGCGGAGGGGAGCTGCTTGCTGGCTTGCTTCCTGTAGCTCGCTCAGCCTGCTTTCCTACACAACCCAAGACCACCTGCCCAGTGGCGCTATTCACAGTGTGCTGGCCCCTTCCACATCCTTCAGGAACCAAGAAAATGCTCCCACAGACCTGCCTACAGGTCCGTCTGATGGAGGTGATCTCTCAACTGAGATCTCAGATAACTCTAGCCTGGGTCAAGCTGAAAACACAATCAAACAAAACAGCTAATCACTGAACAGGTCATCAGACTCAAACCAACTCACTTCGACAGACCTAATTAGAAGCTGGAGCTTCTTAAACTATAAGCAGAAAGAGCGCTTTGGTAAACTGTCACAGAAAGGAATTTGTTGTCGGAAGTCACAGGGACAACTCGGGGGCGGGGGACCAGTTGTGGAGGGAGCAAAGCCCTTGAATCATATTGCAGATGGGTTTTGCGGGTCCCTCTGCTACTGTGGCTGTGGATGCTATTGTCAGGCTGCTGAGGCTGTTGCCATGGAAGCTGGCTGACTGATGTGCCTGTACATCACTTCCTTCCCACACAGAGCCTGCAGGCAAATCTGTCTGTCTGGGTGCCTGGGGTCAGGGCCAGGTTTGATGTCTACACGGGTTATGCACTGCACAAATCCAAAAAAAGACAGCCTGCATGCATCTGTGCTCTGGAGACAAGGGGTCCCGGGAAAGCAAGCTTTATCCAGTTTCTGCTTTGGAAGGAAATTGTCTAGCGAATGGTGATATCTATACATCCAATAACTATATATAGATGAGGTTTTACTGTGTAATATTACTCCCAAAGTTTGCCTGCCTGCCTTCCTTCCTTCCTTGCTTCCTTCCTCCTCCTCCTCTTCCTCCTCCTCCTCCTCCTTCTCCTCCTTATCCTCCTCCTTCTCTCTGTCTCTGTCAGAAATACCTTGGGTGCCATTCTTTAGGTGCTGTTCAACCCCCCCCCATTTTCCTGGAGTAATCTAAGCTAATTACAAGTGCCATCCTACTTGGCTTTGAAAAAAAGATTTTTTAAAAATTAATTAATTAATTAATTAATTTGTTTGTTTATAAAAATTTCCACTTTCTCCCCTCCTCCCTCTCCAGTCCAAAGAGCAGTCAGGGTTTCCTGCCCTGTGGGAAGTTCAAGTTCCTCCCCCTCCTTCCAGGTCTAGGAAGGTGAGCATCCAAACAGACTAGAATCCCAAATAGCCAGTACATGCAGATGAAACAAGACCCAGTGCCATTGTAAATGGCTTCTCAGTCAGCCACCATGTCAGCCACATTCAGAGAATCCGATTTGATCACATGCTCGTTCAGTCCCAGTCCAGCTGGCCTTGGTGAGCT